TTTTTTTTCAATTTTTCTCTTTTTTACTCATTTAATTCCCCTATTTTTCCTATCAACAAGTGCAGTAGAATTAAATTGTATTAGTTTTTTGCTGTGCTTTGATTTCTGTGTGTTTTTTCGTAAGCGAAAGTCATAAATGCTAGTTTCAAATATAAACAAATGAAATCTCAGAGCGAAACAATAATTTTACGTAACAACTTAGATAAAAAAATAATAATAATTACAATGTTTCGATGCAATATCTTTTCAAAATTGATTCTTCTCTTCAACTCATTTATTTTCTATTTTCTTATCAGAATTTGAATGGAATTGAATTGGTTTCGATTGATTTTTTGCTAAAAATATTCAACAAAATAATAGGAAAATATTAACGATCAAAATAATATTTATAAATAAATATAAATTCCACATTTATCTCCGTTCGGCTTTTGAGCCCACTTCAAAGTGTACAGAATTGATGACCAAATAAAAACTGAGTCATATTATGACTCAAAAAATTCCGATGACTTATCGTCTGTGCCAGTATCGACATTTTCTATGCAAACTGTATTCCCGATCACAAAGCACACAGAAAGTTCAGCAATGAATCGAATATTTACTCATCTCTGTATGAGTCATTTGTTCCGTTCCCTATCTCATTGCCCCTCTGCAAACACTTCGATATCGGAGAACTATAAGGTTCTGTGTACCAGTTGTCTATAGACCCCGCCTGCGATTCGTTTTTTTTCAAAATCGCTTGCACTTTCTCGTCTCTATGATTCATTCTGTTTTATTGAAGTAGTTTTATTTGCTACAATTACAGTAATGGACGGTGTAGAAGTGGCAGATGTACTAAGGTTGATGGAAACGGTGATGGTGCCACCGGATAAGAACTGCTCTGAACGAGTCGACACACCTTCAGCTAGAGAATTTCTTGCAAGTTCGTAGTTCCTTTGCATTGATTTCTTGCAAATTTTAATTCCAAAAAATATTGATTTTCAGATCTCGAGCCCTTCCAAATAGTTCTATTAGTGATAGCTGCAGCGTTTACCACCGTCGTCTACTTACTAGCATTTGTACATTGGTATTATGTCTACTCGTTCGTTTCAATTGAAACAAGAAGAAATAAGCTTTATTGGCTGGTCACACTGTTTCCAGTGAGTTGTTTTTGATACCATTAAAGTATACATAACGTCCAGTTTATTAAATAATTTAACCCAGTCAGTACTATTGTAATTTTGACTATGAAAAGCGAATTATACCTCAAAAACACCCATTACTTCTCAATTTGATTCTTTTCCCTACTTAAGGAATGCACTTGTATTTCTGCACTTAATGATATGTTTTTCCTTCCTGCTGGAGTGTATTAAGTAGATATAAATATAAAACATTGAATTACTTTTAGAAAATTCAGTAGGTAATGACAAGACCTAATGAATCTTTTTGAAAATACTTATAGTCGCGAATCTTTACGTCAGAAAAAAACGGGGTCTGACCGTATTTCTGGTAAAAAAAATCTAAAAACCTTACATTAGTAAGTTGGAAGTGTGTTATTTTCCTACTGTCTAAATATACTTCAATGCTGAATGTGAATGAAATCTCCATAATTGAGTACATAGCTGTGTAACACATGTCCTTTTGTGAATAAATTATTTCAATATCTCTGAATATTCAAGTATGTATCCAGTTCCATGTTTTAACAATAAATGCACTCTCGCATCGTTTTTGCACGTTTTCACTTCGGGGGAAAGGCAAAATTTAAAAATGAACATGAAACAGGACTAGGTATCGGAATTTATAAAAATTTCTTCTATAAAAACCGTTATTTCGGGAAAATATTTTTATTCCTAAGAAGCAAGGAAATTGCATTTCGATTCTCTTAATTGCTTTCAAAGTTTGAATTTTGCAATTTGTTTACTAGCGGGGTAGGGAAAGTACAGTACATTAACAATCTTTTTTTTT